TGTACATCGGGTTGGTTCATTCCTGTGCCCTCAGTGAAGTTTCTTTAAAATATAACCAGCAATCCTGGACCCCTCTCCCCCTCTGACTGTCCCCCCAGGGGATCCTGCCCATCAATTCCTTGCCTGAGTTGAAGTCTGCTTGTCTGAAGCCCAGGGTCCTTCCTCTGCTGCTTTCTTTCCTTCCTTTTCTCAGGATCCTGAATTCTGGCATCTCATGGTCACTGCTGCCCATGATGCCATCCACTACTACATTCCCCACCAATTCTTCCCCATTTGTGAGCAGCAGACCAAGAAGGGCATGGCCCTTAGTTGGCCTCTCCAACAGTTGCACCAGGAAGTTGTCCCCAGCATGCTCCAAAAACTTCCAGGATTGCCTGCGCACTGCTTCATTGACCTCCCAGCAGATGTCAGGAAGATTGAAGCCCCCCCATAAGAACCAGGGCCTGTGATTGGGAAATTTCCTTTAGCTATTTGAAGAAAGCCTCATCCACCTCAGCCTCCTGGTCTGATGGTCTATAGCAGACCTCCACCATGGCATCACCCTTGTTGCTCTCCCCTCCGACCCTGACCCAGAGACTTTCAACAAGCCTATCTCCAGGTTCATACTGGAGGTCTGAGCAATCACACAGCTCTTTTACATAAATCACAACTCTTCCTCCTCTTCTCCCCTGCCTGTCCTTCCTGAAGTTTGCACCCATTCATGATGGTGCTCCAGTCATGCGAGCTCCCACCAAGTCTCTGTTATTCCAATCACATCATAGTTCTGTGACTGTACGAGGATTTCCAATTCTTCCTGCTTGTTTCCCAGGCTCTGTGCATTCGTGTATAGACACCAGAGGTAACTAGCCAATTGCCCTACTTTGTCAGGAAGAGCGAGAAGACCACTTCCCCTTTTGCTCCCTCCTGCTTGTGCTTCCTCTAGGTTACCTACTTCCCCACTTATCTCAGGGCTTTGGTTTCTATCCCCCAGCAAACCTAACTTAAAGCTCATGGAGAGAAAGTGCTGAACTCAACTTGAAAAATCCCTCTCATGTTTGTTTGCTTGTTTTTTGTCTGCCTGACGTGAAAACCTTTAAATAGAATTCAAACCTTAAAGCTTCTTTTACCATATTTTTTCTTAGAGCTGGGTTTCTGGGTTAGTCCTCATAAAAATTTAAACACACGAGTAACTTCATGTGTTTGAGTGGTTCTCTTGTGTCTACATGCATACAATGATTCTAGGGATGCACCAATAAAGATTTTTTGGGCTGATAGCCATGGCTGTTTATTAACCAGCCATTTCAGCTGATACCAATCTGATTGGCGATATGCAGCCTGGCAGCTTGGAGAGCAGCGTCTGGCTGGTAAGTCTGTTGGGGGGAAGGGACATAGGGGAGGGAAGACTGGGGGGAGCCGATCAAGGCTCCCCATGGTGAGGGAGGGAGTG